CATATTTTGGCATGTTGGCCCACTATGAATTCTATTAATCCTTGGTTTGGCTAATTATGCTGATATGTTTTAGTATAACCTTTCTTTACAACTTTTGGTTTTTCCATTCCTTTGTTCATGTAGAATTCTTTTTTTTTCCCACTCTATCTCAAAAGAGGGAGGTACAAAGGCTATATATACACAAAGAATATGAGAAGAAAATGAAAGGATTCCTAAGATATTCACAGCAGCAAATTATAAGGAGATGTTACCCATGATCTCCAATTTCTATTTTATAACGATATCAAGTATCTTCAAGGATATTGAGGATCTTAACACTCCCTCTCAAGCTGGAGCATAGATGTTAATCATGCCCAGCCTGTTACAAATAAAAGAGATTCACGAACCAGGTAATGCTTTGGTAAAGACATTAACAAGTAGTCTTCTTGTTCGAACAAAGGGAGTTGAGATGATTCCATCCGCTAGTTTTTCACGAGTGAAATGGTAGTCAACCTCGATGTGTTTTGTTCTTTCACGAAACACGGGATTGTTTGCAGTGTGGATAGCCGCCTCATTATCACAATACGGGTTTATTGGTTTAGAATGAGCAAACCTAATTTCACCTAGTAGATTACGCAACCATATCAACTCGCAAGTGGTTTGGGCCATAGCCATGTATTCAGATTCAACACTTGACCAGGAAACGACATTCTGTTTCTTGCTTTTCCACAAAACTAGATACCCCCCAACCAACACACAATAGCCTGTCGTAGACCGCCTAGTAGTAGGATCCCCATTATAGTCAGCATCTGTGATGCCCCTTCGATGACATGATGACCGTGATTTTGATAAGGGATACCAAGACCAGGAACACCCTTTGGGTACTTCAGTGTATGCCTAACAGCGTCCCAATGTGGAGTTCTCAGAGATGACATAAAGTGACTTACTACATTAACTGGAAAAGCGAAGTCAGGACATGTAATCTCCAGGTAGTTTAGCTTCCCCAAGATTCTTCTGTACTTTTCTGGATCCTCTAAGTAGATCTCCATCGTCCGCTTTCAATTTCATATTTGGAATCATTGGGGCCTCACAAGGTTTTGTTTTAATCATACCAAAGTCATTCAATATATCCAAACAATATTTCCGTTGAGACAAACATATCCCTTTCCGAGTATGAGATACTTCAATTCCCAAGTATTTAAAGGACCTAGGTTCTTTGTTTGAAACCGAGATGCAAGGAAATCTTTTATCTTCTTGATCCCAGTTTCATCACTCCAAGTAATCACAATATCATCAATGTATACCACTAGTAAAACACATCCGGAAGATGACGAAGTAAAGAACACATAATGATCATAAGAGCTCCTCCATAAGCCAAACTCGGTCACTACAGCATTAAACCGTGCAAACGAAGCACGAGGGGATTGGACCATACAATGATTTACGCAGTTTACAAACTCTACCAAACTCCCCCTTCTAAGCAACCCAGGTGGTGGTTGTGGTTGCTCTATATAGACTTCCTGATGTAAATCACCATGCAAGAAGGCATTTTTCACATCTAGTTGGTGTAGTACCCGGTCATAAGTAGCGGCTAATGAAACAAACAAGCGGATGGAGGGTACCTTAGCCACAGGAGAAAATGTCTCGTGGTACTCGACCCAAGCATGTCCTTTGGCTACCAATTGGGCTTTTAGACGAGCCACGGATCCATCTGGATTAACTTTCACAGCGAATACCTATTTACAGCCAATTGCCTTTTTGCGTGTAGGTAACTCTACCAAATCCTATGTATCATTATGATTGTGAGCATTCATCTCATCAATCATAGCATCCCGCCATCCAGGATGGGCCAAAGCTTCACCAAGCGTTTTAGGAACAGATAAAGAATCAAGTGTAGAGATCAAAGAACGAGAACGTGAAGAAAGTTTATCATGGGAAACAACAAAAGAAATAGGGTAAGTACATGAGCGCTTACCCTTCCAAAGAGCAATGGGAACATCAAGATCAGGAATTATGTATCGGAAGGTGGTGGATCATTTGAAGCAAGAGGATCATCATTAGGCGGATCTGTAGACGATGAAGATGGAATTGGGTCGGGATCTGATGTAGGTCGTTGCCGCCTATTATATACATGAACTATCGGTGGTTTAGTAGGCTCTTGGGTCTGTGTCGAGTCGGATGGGGAAGTAGACTTGGGAACAGGTATGGTATACACCAACAAATCATCACTATCTCTTGGGTTGCAAGAGGTGGACATAGGAAAGAAAGGTATATTCTCTTGGAATGTAACGTCTCGTGATACAATGTATCGATTAAGCATGGGGAAAACACTTATAGCTTTTTTGAAGTCGAGAGTAACCAAGAAAGCCATATTTCAGAGACTTTGAATCCAACTTAGTTATGTGAGGTCGGGTATTGTGGACAAAACACTTACTATCAAAGATCTTTGGGTCGACAGGAAACAATGATTTTGTAGGAAACATAACTGAGCAAGGACTTTTACCATCCAAGACACGGTTGATAAAAAAACAAGTGGTAGCAACCGCATCAACCCACAAGACTTTAGGAACAGTCATGTGAACTAATAGAGCCCTAGCCACCTCTAGGAGATGACGATTCTTTCGTTCTGCAACCTCATTTTGGGCTGGTGTGTCAACACAGGAAGACTCATGAAGAATGCCATTTTGAATCATACATGACTAAAATGTTTGGGACAAATATTATTTTGCATTATCACTACGAAGAGTTTGAATGGAGACTTCAAACTGGGTTTTAATCTCAGCATAGAGTGAACAAAAATGTGTGAATACCTCAGATAATTTTTTTTATAAAGTAAAGCGAAGTAGTGCGAGAGTAATCATCAACAAATGTAACAAAATACTTGAACCCAAGTTTTTAAGTAACAAGACATGTCCCCAAACATCAGAATGGACTAACTCAAATGGGGATGAGGTCCGCTTATTATAGACTCTAGGACTTAAATGAATACGCTAATGTTTGGCTAACTGACAAGACTCACACTGTAGAGAAGGTAAATAAGAAAACTCAGGACACAACTTCTTCAGATTTTGTAAAGACGGATGACCTAATCGACAATGAACTTCAAGTGGAGACGATGAGCTAGAACAAGTCAATGAGGAAGGTACTTGATGTTCAAATATGTATAGGCCATCAGTCTCCCGCCCTCTACCAGTAATCCTCTCCGTCGAATGAGACACAACAATTTAAAGCGCGGTAATTTTGCTGATTTGATAACAAATTGAATGAGAAATTAGGTAGGCTCAATACGAAAGCTAACGAAATAGACAAGGTAAGATCGATGTGCCAGAACTTGTCAGCAATTGTGACGTGATGGGGATTTGTGTTTAGTGAAATTAGGGAAGATAGTGGGATTACCTGTCATGTGATTTGAAGTACCTGAATCAATGAATCATTTGGAGGCATAAGATAATTGACATGTACTAGAGTTACCTGTCTCTGCAAATGCAGCTGTCCGAGCAGTGGAATTCTCAGTCCCTAAAAGTCGAGCATATTCTTCTGGGGATATAGTAATAGTGTTATCTGAGGCAGAGGCAACGTGCGCCGATGAACTCCTTGGATGTCTGGACAAAAGCTTCTTACATGTGCGCTTGGTGTGACCTAACTCATGGCAATAGTAACACTCAATATCATCAGAATCTGGAATAGTAGCCCGTGAGTTAGTTGTTCGGTCATTGTGGCCACCTCTAGGGCCACCACGGTGACCGCCACGAAATCCTCGGTAGCCACCACGAAATCCCCCTCGACCAACCAGAGCATTGTTGTGATCAAAAGTTTGAGAAGCCTGAAGATTCTCATTCCTAAGAACACATGCTAATGTTTCTTGAAGAGAAGGAATAACATATTCATTCAAGAACTGAGATCTGATAGAGTCAAATTCTAGTCGCAACCGGTTAAGAAACTGATAACAACCACTTGTTCCCTCTGAGTCTGCATGACTTTGACATCAACACTTAATGGAAGAAGAGAGTTAAGCTCCTCGTATACTTTCTTGAACTCCATGACATACGTAGTGAGTGATCGGTCCTTTTGTTCACGATGAAGGACTTACAAACACTATAGATTTGAGAGATGTTACTTTGTCCAAAATACAAAAAATAAAGATAATCCATAAGTTCCTTCATATATTCACAATGACTAACCAGAGACGAAACAAATGGCTCAATAGTATTGATATTTTGCAAGTACAAACGAGCATCACTTTGGAACCATGAATCAGCATTGTTACCTTTAGGAGGATCCAATGTGAGATGAGAAGCCATTCCCATGCTCCGAAGATAGATACAAATAGTTTTGCTCCACTCAAAGTAGTTGGAGCCATTAAGCTTCTTGTTGGTGAGCTTAACATTTACTGGAAGCATCTCGGGTACACGTAAACTACTATTACTATCAGATGTTTTGTCTTCTCTAGTCATCTTCCAATAAATCACGAACCAGAAGAGAGAACGTAGAACTTAGGACGAAGGATAACAAACCAGAGAGCGAACGACGCACTCACAGGGTGCCAAATAGCCGACGAACAAAGATGAGGATAAACACACTCACAGGGTGCCAAATAGCCAACAATCAGAGATGAGGATAAATGTACTCACAGGGTGCCAAAGAAACCGACAAACAGAAAACTTCGGACCCAAGGAAACTTGTCAACCAAGAAAAAGATGATGAACAAAAATTTCGATCTAAGGAAAAAACGTACCAAAAAAATTTCATCCGTGAAACTAGTGATTGTTACAAAACCGAGCTCTGATACCATGTAGAATTCTTTTTTTTATTTCACTTATCTCAAAAGAGGGAGGTACAAAGGCTATGTATACACCAAGAATATGCGAAGAAAAGAAAAGGATTCCTAAGATATTCACAGCAGCAAATTACAAGGAGATGTTACCCATAATCTCCATTTCCTTTTTTACAATGATATCGAGTATCTTCAAGGATATTGAGTATCCATCATGAAAAAAAGTAATATAATAATTCTTATGCAGGCCAATTTTCTTGTCGAGAATATCACTTAGTGATATATGGGAGCCGGCTTCAAGAAGATTGTGTGGAAATAATCCTTGGAAAATGTTGAAGAGCGCATTTTCAATTTTTTCGTCACGATCAATCCTTCAGGTATTACACAAATCACAGTTTTCTGTTATAGTATACTCTCTTTTTGTGCTTGATGATCTACAAACACCATTGCTCTAGTACCCTTGTACACATAAGCATGAGCACTATAATCTTTAACATTTAACTGTTGTATGTGAGGTTTTGAGTTTTTAAGATCACCGCATTTTGTTACTGTCTTGGCTGAAAAAGAGTACATCCTTTGTCAGTTTAGAAGTCAACATGGATGAATCCAAATTTGAACATTGATGTTTTTTAATATTTTTTTCTATTTTGTAGTTCTTCAAAATTTTATATGGAAACCAAATTCTTAGAATAAATTTGAAGTTATTGAACTTTTGGAAGTCCAATATTTTCTTGTACTTTTGAGTGGAGGAAAATCGTATATGAAGGGTCTGCACGGAATATGCCGGATATATTAGGGATGCAAACCACACATTGACTTTATTTTGACTGGCCAAGTTTTTAATTCATTGCAAGTATGGCCCTAACCTTAGTTCTGAAATGACAAGGAACACTTAGGGGGCGTTTGGTTGGGGGTATTAGAAGGTAGGGAATGAAAATGATGTTTTTTGTAAATATTTGGTTCAATCAAGGAATAAGAATGAAATGATTGATGGCATTTTCTCTTTCCATTGTTGGATCTGAGTACCAGCTATCGCACACTCAACTTTGAGTTGGCATGGGTATTCTTTTGTACAGGAGCTGGGATTCTGTGTCAGGTTTCTTTGGATATGTACTGTGGTAAAGAGTCAGCTATGTGCAGCTAAAAGAATAGGATATTTCATGTGATTACCTGCATATTGGTGGACTGGCATTTGTTTCTTTTAAGTGTTTGGTACGTGCCACAAACTCCTATAAAGCCAATATTAGTGTTCTTGGGATCAAGTACCCAATATATTAGTGAAACATACCTCATCAAAAAACACAAATTGGTTGTATATATAGCAAGCTGTGCATGTTTGACATGTATGCTCGAACTTGAAATGTGTTGAGAGATTGGTTGTTGATGCATATGGTATCCATTATCATCTTCTAGCCTTCTCGTTTTATATATTTGGCAACTTGATATTTGGTTCTGTTTTGATTAATGACACAATAATGCTTTTTGAGAACCATATTTTATTATGCTTAAGCATCATGTATTATCATCAACTTGACAAGAGAAGCTTTTCTGCTTATAGGAACCCGCATTCCAAGAATTGATTTTGCTTTACACAAAAGAAATCGAGGAAAAAGAACGCATAGATCAAGCTCCTCTGTTGCAGTTGAAGATCTATGAGAGGATTCCTATTCCTGATTTGACGGTGAACATAGCCATGCTGCTTAATTCTACACATCTGCTCAGTGTTATGTGTGAATTTCACAAGAAATTCATATTAACGTTATCTTTTCCATTATGTAGGTTATTTTCCCTCACAAGAAGCTGTCTTTTCGCATTTTGGATACGGTAAATATAGGTTAAAGGTTTTATCTTCTTATCGGTTTGTGTATGTTTTCTATTTCTTTTTGGTTTTTATCTTATGCTTTGAATTTAGGGGTTAGGCCTTCTGCTGGTCTTTTGGCATATCTCAAATTTCAATTAAGTTTTGGTAAATAGTAGTTAAAAAAATTTCCATCACTTGTGTCATGGCAAAACTTATATTTCTGTCGCTGTAATTTCTGATTATTAATCATGGTATTTTTATATCTTAAAATGGAGTCCTAGCATGAAGTTACATCACTTTCATGAGGAGAACAACAATGATTTCTGTGTGGCTTCTACATGGGAATTCATGTACTACTCACATTGCACCATCATTCTCTACTCCTCAGATATATCATCACCACAGCAATGTACTATCATGCTGAGTAATGTGAGCAAACTACCCAGCCTATCTTGTTTGTTGCCACTTTCCTCTACCAAAATTAGAAAATTAAGTACAATTTTCAGCAACCAATTAAGTTAATTTGATAGTGTTTGGTGTTTTGTTGCTTATATATAACAATATTTAGAAATGTGATGCAATTTATGACCATCCGGTTTTTTGGTTTAAAATTTTGAGTTAATTGGTTGGTTTTAGACTTCTATTACTTAATTGAGGTCTTAAATCTCAGGAATTCAGAATCTTTTGCATTTTTGTCGTGCACCTGTTTGAGGATCCAAATTCTTTATTGGACCAAGGCTCCTTTTTTTGGGAAAAAGGGGACAGGACCCCTTGGAAAAACTTTACTCAAATTGGACCAAAGCTCTTATTGACTCAATGTGGTCATATTTTTGTCTAAATTGTAAAGAAGTTCTTCCTAGTTTTGGGAATTAAGAAGCTAAAGGTGTGAACAGAATGAAAGTTACATCCGAGAATAGTAGTGTATGAGTAGTGAAGTGGATGAGATATCCAGGCAAGTAATTCAAAGGACAATATTACAAGCATTGTTCTTATGTGATGATGGTCTATGAGAGGAGTATATGGGGGGTAATGACACTACTTCAGTTAGTATGTCTTCAATAGTAGCCATCTTGACATCTCAGTTAGTGAAATGGATGCCCAGTATGTGACTGGCAACATTGACAACAGTATTCGATTGTTAATATTAAAATTACTCCTCAGCTAGCTGGAGTTGAGGAGCTTGTAGCCATGGATCTTTTAAGTAACAGTACTACAAATTTGACGAGTGCTCTTAGAGAGTACTTTTGGATATTTAGATACTTGAATTTATCGTCTTTACTTGTTGTGAAGGTACGCTTGGATATCGCCTCGATCTTGGGGATCTTGGCCTACTTCATAAACTACAAATTTGAGAATATATTGTCCTCACCGTAAGTATCTCTTCGCTTTTTGATATAATCTTCTTGTTAAAAAAGTTCTATAGAATGGCATGATAAAGAACTTGTTCCATTTTCTATCTTCCTATGTGGTTTTTCTCCGAAGCAATTAAAAACTGATAGAGATGTTGGAGATATCTTGTTGGTCCCAGCCGGATCTACAAGAGTTAACAGGTAACAGTTTGTAGAAAGGGGGGATGAATACAAACACAACAACCTTCACTTTTAAATATTATTTATTGATAAAGAAGATCAATACAAAATTTTACAGATTGTTTGCGAAAAAGATATGATACAGAACTTATCTAAACAATCAAAGATACACACAAGTTACGGTAAGTAAGAAAAAAAAAGATTTGCTAAAAGAAATAGGTTAGAAGTGTATTGCTCTTCACTGGTTAAAGTGGAAGTCTTTCTCTTAATTAGAGAGTTAGAGGGATGAGTATCTTCTTGGGTAAAAAAAATTTCAAGGCAAGGAAGCTTGGCTTGGACTGAGATTCATAAGTCTAGTGAGAAGGAAAAACTTCTCAGCTATTTATACCCATTTCATTAAATGCAATTCAGAAAGTACAAAACACGTGGCAAGCTTCAAGAGGTGAGCTTGTTCTTTGTTGCAGATATACAGGCTTTAGCCGTATATGAACAACGTCTTTCACAAAATAGGTAAGCACGCTTGGAGACAGTAGAGTGACTCTGTACAGTACTTTAATGTGAGAGGTATGGGTTGTGTAAGGACAAGACAAAAACTAATCTTGTTCAACAAGATTCATTTGATCACTGACATTGGAATAACGCTGAGGTCTCTTTAGTATTCGCTGAATCTTGTGTAGATTTCACACTTGTGTAGACGAGCTTGATATCACTGAAAACCGCATTAGATCACGAAGTTGCTTGTCTCTATCTTCAGCTTAATCTTCGATATCGCTGAAGGTTCTGTGGTGTGATTTTTGTCTTCCTTAAGAATACTTGTCTTTGAGAGAATTACAATACATGTTCAACGATCATTGAACAAACTCAGTGATGATCGCTGAAGCTGAATACAGAGAGAGTACACTTCGATAGATAAAACGGATCATTATCAAATCATTGATAGAGAGAGGATTAACAATCTCCCCCTATTTGATGATGACAAAGCAATATAAAAAAATTGCTTAGGTATAACAGTAAGGAAAAGGTATTAGTAAAATACTTGTCATTTTTAACTATTTTGAGATCTTTTTAAGTGATACAGTTTACTATGGAAATTTGCTTTAATTGTAAAGGATTACAAGGAAATAATAAACTTACACAATATTAGTAACTGAATACTGAAAGTATATTCACTGACTAGAAAGGTGTCAGCGAAAGTAAGAAATAAATAGAACTCATAATTACTTGTCCCAGTTACTCTTTTGAGAGATTTTTTTCAATGGACCAATTATTTTATTGAAATACTTTACAAGGGAAAATATTACATCTGATTACAATCGGTTTTGGTAGACTTAAAACTTAAGAGATATACACTGAAAGAAAAGATGAAATACAAGATTTGCAAGACTGAAAGGTTGACTAATATAGATTGTTGAAATTGAGGTAATCTGGAACTTCTTCTCCTTGCATCTTTCGTCTGAGCATTTTCTTTCGAATCCTACGGTCCATCATCTCTCCATATAGATCATCATTCAGCTAAGTTCTTAGATATTCATCTAGTGGGCAGAGATTGTAACACCCCCAAATCCATACATTCCATATAACACATATTTCATACATCAAATACATGTTTTAAACCCACATAGGTCCATAATACAAGAGTCTAAAATACAAAATACACAACTCAAAAATTCCAAATACAAGTTCTTGCAAATGTAATTCCTATGAGTTCCTATCTTCCCGCATGCAAGTAAAAATAGAATCATAGTATGCCTTTCCCCTTATCACTATAGCTGGGTGCACACACATAATTGAAACACACAAAATGAGGGTTAGACAACAGTCTAGTGAGATCCCCTTTTTTCATGCAGTGCAGGGTGATAAACACCAAAACCTTTATTACAAATTGTGGCATAAAAACAGATTCTGCTTTGGTCTATCGGTCCTCTGGTCAAAAATCAACACTTAGAAAATTTGACATCAAGAGGTCCAGAGCCCCTCTGGTTCCTCTTCCAGAGCTTCTGGACAATACATGCACGCTCAACCAGAGCTTCTGGAATTGCGCGTAAGACCATCAAGAGCCTCTCCGGACTAGCTCTCAAGGCCATCCAGATCCTCTCTGGACTATTATAAGGAAGTTCGCCAAGTATAAAACATTTGAAAACTCTTTTAGATTTATGACTAGAGCTTCTGGTTCCTCAATCCAGAACCTCTGGTTCAAAACCAAAATATTTATAAAAGGCTTTAAGTTTAACAAGAGCCTCTGGTTCCTCAATCCAGAGCTTCCAATCTAAAATCAAGACCAACTAGAGCTCCTCTGGTCWATTTTTCRTAAAAAGAATCCAAGYATAAAAATTCTCAAAATGATTTTTATAAAGGAAGTTTAATACAGAGCTCTTATTTAGAAGATGCAGAGCCTCTGTATGCGGAAGMCTTATTTTAAAAGCAGAGCTCTGTATCTAGCGGATACAGAGCCTTTGCACAAAAACCCAATTTTTTAATACAGAGCTATGTATTTAACAAATACAGAGCTTCTGTGTGATAGACCAATTTTT